TTTGGTTTTTTATTATAAACCTTAAATTAGCCCAGCTATCTCCCTTTAAGGAGTCCTGGTGTATGCTTTGGGTTGTGATACACATGGCTGATCATTTGAAACCACCAGCAGCTCCAAGGGAAAAACACTGGGCTTTCTACTCCCATAAATAGTCACAGTCTCAGAAACAGACAGGGGTCGCTATGAGTCAGCATTGAGTCACAACAGTGAGTTTGGATTTTAGTAGCTCCCATAAAGTTCATTCTGTCAAAGTGAATAGCTTACTGTTGGTAGGAAATCACTTTTCTCTTATAAATTTCAGTGTCCGTCAAAAATGAAGCTCACTCATACTCTCTTTTAGGCAGAATATGTAATAGTGGTTGTTGACACTGAAATAAAAATATATAAATAAAACATGCATAATATATAAATATGTAACAGAATATATGTTTATATATAAATACATGTTTATATATACAAATTTTATATAAATGTATATTATGTTTTATATACTTACATATAAAATATGACTATAATATACATAGTATAATTAATATAAATACAAGTGTTAAATAATATTTACAATATAATTATATTTATATAAATTGAATGTAAATATAGAGGTATATTATGTAGTACATATTTAATATAATCTTAAATTTATACAAAGTATTAAGTATTAAAGTTAATTTCACCAAGTAGAATAGAGAAAATGCAAATTCTCATTTTAAAAAAGAACCCAGATTTTAAAATTAGTACTATCAAAATGATATACAAAGTTACTTTATTTTATTTTTTCAAAGACAAAGTCAGCAAACTAGAAATTGGGATCTTTTTTAACATTTCTTGACATTATACTCTTCATTCACTCACCCGTGCAACACATCTGTCACCACAATGATGCTTGACATTTCGTGGGATTACTTTAACATAAATTCTATTCTTGAAGTTTTCCAGACTAGACAGTTAGTATCCATTTAGATCGTAAACTCTGGTGAGGGTCGATTTTTGGAACTGTCCTGCTGAGAAAGGAGAAAGATGAGGTTTTCTGTTTCCTTATGTGCTTGACACAGTGGATGTATGTCTATTAAGGTAATAGCTGTATGGTCCCCCAATAAAGTGATTTTTTAAAAATTGGAAAAAGAATTTTCACTCCACTATAAAAAAAGAAAAGATTTACAGCCTCAGTAGCTCTGTAGGGTTGCTGTGAGCCAAACTCAACAGTGGCAGTCGGTGGGCTTTGAAAAGGTCTCTGCAGGGTCAAACTGGAAGCAGACCTGACGCCTTGCTATTCTCTTCTGCTGTGGTTTTCTACCTTGTTCTAGTGGAGTGGTTCTCAACCTTCCTAATGCCGTGACCTTTTGATACAGTTCCTCATGTTGTGGTGACCCTCCCAACCATACAATTATTTTCATTGCTACTTCGTAACTGTAATTTTGCTACTTTTATGAATCGGGCAACCCCTGTGAAACGGTTGATCAAGCCTCAAAGGGGTCGTGACCCACAGGTTGAGAACCACTGTGCTAGGAGGACGGAGTCAGATGGGGTCTTAGCTTTTCATGTGCAAGTGCCCTCCCTGTGAGACTTCCCATCTTGTCCTTTCTTGCCTGTGTTGCCATGCCAGAGTAGAAACTTAATCATTTAGAGTTTGCCAGAAATCCTTAAACTTCTTGCGTATCCCTGAGGCCTCCTGTTTGATTTTATTTTTTGCCTATGTTGGCTTGTAATAGCTTAGTAATCACTTTAAAGGCTTTTTGTTGTTGTTTAATTTTTAATATTTTTATCCACTATTTTTGTAGTCTTTCGTGGTGGAGGGTGCATTCAGGCAATCAGATTTTCCTTACTCTCAGAATTGGAAGGAACTATACTATATTGTTAACATAGTTGTAATTAATGTGTGTCTTTGTTCTTGTCTAGTTGTTATGTACTAATTTTCTTTGACTTATGCCCACGTATCATTATAATAGCTATATGGGATTTTTGGTTGTTGTAGTGTTGTTTGTGTGGTCAACCCTATATTTGCTTGGTTTTCAGCTTTGTGATTTAAAAGTGTTGCTAGATAACTGTATTGATGTAAAAGTAATAATTTTTTTTCCCTTTCCTTAGGTCAACTTGATATAAAACACATACTATCAAAGAAGTTACAATTGACCACAGAGGCAGAGGTAAGTAACCCATTTAGGAACAAAAGTGTCATTTTAGTTTTGTTCAGTAAAAATTTTTTT